CCCCCCGCATGATGTTTTCTTCTTCATACTCTTTCTCAGTTTTTCTTTCAGATTCCTTTTTTTGTGCATTCTTGTTTTTTGTCTGTTATAGTTGTCTGAAATGGCACGGACTTTGTCTACTCCTGTTTTAGAGGACTGAAATTACTGATGACGGCTTGTCAACTCCTGTCTTGAGGTGGTGAACCTGGCCACGGGCATCTCAGCCTCCAATGGAGGAGAGCTCTGGGAAAGTTCTGTAGACTTTCACGTAATTCCCTCATTTTTGGTGTGGTGTTTTAAACTTGTTTTCCTGTTTTCAGCTGAATCTGTTTGCTCTCTTTCCTTGGTACCTGGGGTCACTGATTCCTGAGCCTTTCTGTAATTTCTTTCATGTGAGGTGGTTTGTTTCCGGATCCCCTCCACTTTGGGCAGAAGTTCAGCTTCTTTGGTCTGCTGAGTCAGTTGGACATTTTTTTTCTAGCTTCGAAATGTTGTCATCTCTTCCATTCTCTTAGTTGTGAGTGAATCCCCCCTCCCCCACCAAAAGCCCCATTCCTTTTACTGTTAATTTAGAGGAGCTTCAGGAAGAAGTATAGGAAGGATGTATTTGGTCTGCCGTGTTAAACTGGAGGTCCAGTGAATGTTCAAGCCCTGCCGTTTTAGTCTACTTAGAAGATCACCAAGCAGCAGGTAGCAGAGGTGTATTTCGGAAGAACAGATCATGATGGGACAGTCATTGTCTTTTCCGGGTGGTAGGACAGACCACAGATAGAGAAATCAGTTAGTTTAATGTCCTTTTTATTTTGTCATGTATCTGTCTTAATTATAAAAGCTTGTTTTTATTTTTTTCATTTTACTGTTAAGTGTATTAATAACTGGACTTGGGGCGCCTGGGTGGCGCAGTCGGTTAAGCGTCCGACTTCAGCCAGGTCACGATCTCGCGGTCCGTGAGTTCGAGCCCCGCGTCGGGCTCTGGGCTGACAGCTCAGAGCCTGGAGCCTGTTTCCGATTCTGTGTCTCCCTCTCTCTCTGCCCCTCCCCCGTTCATGCTCTGTCTCTCTCTGTCCCAAAAATAAATAAATGTTGAAAAAAAAAATTAAAAAAAAAAAAAATAACTGGACTTAAGGTATCACCCAGGGGAGTTGGTCCCTGGTTTAGCATCCCAGGTGAATCAACAGGGATACAACCTGCAACCTGTTCTTTTCAGTGTTTTTTGTTAACACAATTGATAATAAACTTTTATCTATAATTTCCTTTTATTGCAAACTCTGATTTTGGCTTCAGGATTATATTGACTTCATAAAATAAGTTGGGTAGTGTTTCCTTTCTAGTCTCTGAAAGTTTATATGAAATAAGGGTTATCTAAGTAGATGTCTTTTTGGGAGGGAAGGGAAGACTTTGAACTACACTTTGCCTTTTTACTTATTTATTTTTAAAGTTTATTTATTTTAAGAGCACAAGTTGGGGAGGGGCAGAGAGAGAGAAGAGTTGGACTCTCAAATGACTGAGCTACCCAGGCACCCCAATAATATTTATTATAAAAGTTGACCACTTTCAATTTTATTTACATAAAGTTAATAGAATTTTCCTAGGGCTTAAAGACTGTAATGTGTTTGTAATTATGTTTTCCTTTACATTTTAGACATTATTTTTGCTTTTTCTCTTTTTTTAAAAAAGTATCAGTGTTGCTACAGAGGTCTTATTAATATTTTCATGGAACTGGCTTTTGGTTTTGCTCAAATGGTTTTGTTTTTTCTATTTCATTGTTTCTGCTCCTGTCTCAGTTCTTTCCTTCTTCCCTTCTTTGTTGCTTTTCTTTCTTGGGTTTTTACGGTTTTCCCCCTAACTTCTTGAGTTGAAGTCCGCTCATTTCATTCGTTTCTTTCTTGATTTGTGGTGACTGGACTTTACGTGTGTGCCGCCCCAGGCACCACCTTAGCCGTGATCATGGAGCTCATTTCCATGTAGTTTTCAGATTAGAAGTACAAAGTACTTGTGGATTTGGGTTTTTCTCCCCAAACTTTGTACTTGGAAAAATTTTAAACCTACTAAAAATCGGAAGGAGTGGTCAATTAATACCCTCATGTTATTCCCCTAGATTCACCGGTTGTTAATATTTGCCACATTTGTGGGCGTCTGAGCTCCTGTCAGTTGAGCTTCGGACTCTGATTATGGCTTAGGTCTTGATCCCAGGTTCGTGGGATCGAGCCCAGTGTTCAGCCCTGTGCTGAACATGGAGCCTGCTTAAGATTCTCTCTCTTTCTCCCTCTGCCTCTTTCCACTGCTGGAGTGCTCCTTTCTCTAAACAAACAAAAACCACCTGGGGGGGGGGGAAACACTTAAAAAACT